AACAATTGCAGATTCCTTGGAGAAGAGTCCTACTCTGCTGGTGCTTCACGAACATACCTCGTTGAAGACAAACCAACATGGGTAGTTGATCCTCTCGATGGCACCGTCAACTTCACACATCTCTTCCCCATGTTCTGCGTATCGATCGCTCTAGTCGTCAAAGGTGTTCCAGTCATTGGCGTCATCAATGCCCCATTCCTCCGCCAATTCTTTTCATCATGCACAGGCCGAGGCGCATGGCTCAATGAGACACAGCGACTACCATTGATTCGAAACCCGATCCCTCCGATGCCTGCTAATGCGCCTAGCGCTTGTACGTTTTCTTGTGAATGGGGCAAGGACCGTCGCGATATCCCAGACGGCAACATGTCACGAAAGATCGAGTCTTTTGTGAATATGGCTTCGGAGAGAAATGGGAGGGGAGGAAAGGGTGGTATGGTCCATGGCATGCGAAGCTTGGGCAGTGCGACTTTGGATCTTGCTTACACTGCCATGGGTTCTTTTGATATCTGGTGGGAGGGTGGATGCTGGGAATGGTATGACAACCTCACGCTTTTGTTTCTGCAGTACAATAGAGATGCTAACTCGAATAGGGACGTCGCGGCCGGTTTCGCGATTCTAGAAGAGGCTGGCGGTCTTGTAACAACTGCCAACCCTCCCAGCGACCCAGAGACTGCCGACATTACAAGGGCACATCTTGGAGGCCGGCTGTATCTAGCTATACGGTAAGCACACGTCATATAAAACTTGAAAGCTCGCCTACTAACATTCAATAGCCCCGCCGGCCCGTCAGCAACAGAAACAGGACGGCAGACACAAGAACGAACTGTGAGAGAGGTATGGAAACGTGTCCGAGAATTAGATTACAAGCGCCCAGGCGTATAAACGGCTTCAACAACATGAGCATAATAAACATATAGAACCCCTTCAGCCGATACGGCAAGATTGACTCTCCACATGCGCCCCAGATTGGCAGCCTAATAATATACCTTCCAACTACATGTTGTCAACTTCCTCCATACGAGCGACAAAGTCTTCTTGCAAACGCTGCAGAAAACCGGGAAGGGCTTCCTCGCTTCCAGAATCCTTAGCCTGTCTAAGGGCATCCTGCAGGTTGAGAATGAGCTTTCGACGAGCCACAAGTCTGGTTGACTCTGAGCTACGCTTGGCAGTTTCTCGTCTTCGCCTGATGTCCTTCGCCACTTCTTCTGCTTTGTCAATAAAGGACTGAGGAAGCCCGATAGCACGTGCCAGATTTATGCCATAGTGCTCTTCGCCTCTGATGGCACCAGAGGTCGCCTTGTAAAGCATCGTAATATGAGGCAATCCATCTTCAGTTGTCGAGGTAGTGGCAGCCAGGTGGAGGTTGAGAATACCTGGTCGATCCGCGAGAACCTTTGTCAGATCAATGTAGTGAGTAGCCAACCAGACGGATGCTTTGGTTTGAATCAATGCTTCAGACATTGCAATCGCAATCGCTAGGCCATCTCGGTTGCTTGTGGCCCGGCCCAACTCGTCAATCACAGCGAGACTCTGGTCGTCAATGTTCCTCAGGATGAAGGACATTTCCCGCATTTCAACAGAAAAGGTAGAAAGGTTACTCTCAATGTTGTCGTCAAGCGAAACCCGAGCAAATATGGTGTGGATGATGGAGAAAGCGGCATACTCGGCAGGCACAAACGATCCGATTTGCGCCATGATCTGAAGCAATGCGACCGCCCGTATGTAGGTACTTTTCCCGCTCATATTACAACCCGTCACGATGTGGAAACAATATTGCTCTGTAGAATAGTAATCATTAGGCACAAACCTGCCGTTCATAGTCTATATAAGTCAGCCAGTGTGTATCAGTAGTGGCTTCTCGCACTCACTTTATCGAGGACAGGGTGTCTCGCTGCTTTCAATGCGAGCGTCGTGCTGAGATCTGGCTTCACGTAGTCCCGGGTAGTTGCAAGCTGCGCAAAAGAAGTGATCATGTCGACAAGCGCAACCGATTCGCAGACACGGAACAAGTGTGGAACATCAGAGCGTAGTTCTTTCAGCAAGTCTTGTATAACCTTGTCGCTTCGAATGACAACCTCGTTGGAGGTATCCGATAATCTCAGATTGAGCTTGACCAAGTCGAGTGTCTGGCATTCAATCTTGTCTTTCTTTCGCACCACATTGATCAACAAATCCGGAAGGACACGGTCATCGAAGTCTGCCGCTCGCAGCCTGAGCCAATACTTGCGCCCATTATCGTATCGGAGGTTGGCATCAAGTCCGTGTGCCTCTAGATCTGATTAGTGATATATTGCACAAAAGGAATGTTTCATACCATTCAAAGAATCGATGTGCTGGTGAATGTCTTCGGTGAGCTCTTTGTATGTCTGGCGAGCAACATCAAGCATTCCGTTGATGCCCGCTTTGACTGCAAAGGTTCTCTGATTTCGAAGATCTAGCGCAGACTTCATGTAAGTGACGTCTGCTTCAATGGTCTGACGGATAATATTGAGACTGTGGCTTGTGATTTCAGGGCGACAAAGCTCTCGGACCTTGGTTAGTAATACGCTGTTGGCAGGCCCCAATGCCGTGTGAAGTTCGGGGATTGACTCCAGAAAGCTTTTGATCATGAGGACCTGGTTGATTTGTTCTTCTACTTGTTGGACATCGGCATTGGTGGGAACAATGATCAACTATAGGGGTCAGTACAGCATGCATAGTTGGTTGGTCAGCTTGCCTTGGTCAGGAGCTTTTCCGTGTCATGAAAGAGCTTGAGGGCTGCTTCAGTTAGCGAGATCCCACGTTATCGCTGCAAACCTTGCCTTTTCGAATCTCCAAGAACATTTCTTCGTTAGTGGTCAACTCATCCAGCGCATCATACCGGGGTGTAATAAAGAGATCTGGCCGAGTGGGTGGCTGCAGGATATTGCTACGAAGCATCCTTGAACCCATCGGGGTGCATGTATGGTTCAGAAGGCCAAATAGTGATTCCTTAGACTTTGAGTTTCGGATATTCTGCATGATCTCAAGCGATTGAATCGCCGAAATGTCAATCATCATGGTATCTTCTGAAGGTCGGTATTGGATGCGGAGCGAGTGCGGCGCGAAGTTGATTGAGAAGTGTTGCTGGATATACTTCATTGCCTGTTCCGAGTTAGGATCTTCATCGAGGGGCCCAGATAATTTGACTTACAGCGGCAAGAGAACTAATGGCATAGAACTTGCCCTTCGTAGCCACCTTCAAAGGTTCGATGTCGTCCTTGAAAGCTAGGTTGTGGATATACTCCAGCCCTTCTGTCTCTGACCATGCTGACCGTTCCATTGCGTCGATTTGGGCTTCAGGAATAAGGTCTTGGACAAGAGAAAAGAGGGAACTAGGGTTGTTTGGTGGACAGGCAGTAGTCATGAATAGAATGCGTGAGGGCGCCGACAGCTGGATCTTGTGGATTGTCTTGACATACGACTGGTTGTCACATATTTGACTGATGACAGCTTCACCGAGAGAAACATTGACAAATGCGATACCAACTGCGGGAGAAACTCCGCGGGCCTCGCTCACTGCGCATACTATGGTCTGCGCCTCGCTAAGCCCGAGGATGGAAGAGGCAGTTCCGTTTCGAGACTTTCTTCCAGATGCTGTACCAGGTCTTGATCCAGGGCGGACGGTAGAAGGTCTTGAGATGTTAGGCCTCGTGCTATTTCCTGAGTAGTCGTATCCAGAGTATTCGCTTAGACTGGTCTGTGGTCGCCTAGGGGCCAAGGAGTTCAGTGCGGCAGGATGGTCGAGATGTGCTTGGCTATCGCTGCTCTGGAAGTAACTCGAGGACGAGCGGCTGGCGGTTCTAGATGGCATGGAGCGTAACAGCTCTATATTGACATCCATTTTGCGATCAATCCACTGTGGTCAACAGAGGGAGGGAGGGCGTCGTCTACCTATAGTTAGGTGGTGATAGATGGAAAGGCCGTTGATTTTTTTATTCAAAGTAAAGGTTGGGGATGATTACTTGGAAGAAATGTGTTGCGAAGAACCGGCGGCACCTTCCTGTGTTAGTGGTGAGGAACCTGAAGACCTCGGGGGATTTGAGGAAAGAGCCGTCAGGGAGAGCACATTCAAGCCGGATACCAGGCAATGGCATGCGATCATTCATATACTTACATTTCACGCACTTCTATACCCTTTTAGTACAAGGCCAATGGTGCTAGTCAACTCCTACAAGGCCTCTGAAGTGCTCATCTCAAGTGACAATAATTGCGACTGAACCTCAAAGACGCTGATAATCCCTTAACCCAAGACATAAGAGCCAAAGAAACTTGCGAAGAAGCTCAAGGGTCAATAATACTTGAGAATGATAGCATATCACATCAAAACTTGTTCAGGACTAATATTCTTCCTTAATACAGCAGATAGCATGAAATGTCATGTAAAGGCCTGTTAGCTTAGATCAGAACGAAGAATCTGATAAGCTCCCCTGTGGTTATCGTAGATGTTGTCCCAAGTGGCTCAGAGGATAACAGTTTAAAATTGTAAGACTTTTCGCAAACCTTCTATCAAAATCAGCTGAAGTGTTTAATAACTCCAAGAACTTACAAGTCAGGTCGTCTGCGACATGTCGACACTTGCAAAGATTCTAGCTCCTCTTCGTGTTGTATTTTCATCGAAAACAGGCAAACGATGCCGATCAAATAGAAAGCCTTGGTCATTTATTGAACAGTCAGAGGCTCTTAGGGGCTCGAGGCTTACTGCAGTACATATCAACGGCAAGCCTTTCCAAGGATCTTGTAGCCCAGGAGAAACCCCAAGCGCATTCTGCACGAGCGGTTCTCCCCCGAGAATACCAATATGCTCGACGAGAAAGACGGCGCTGAAAAGGGGGCCGGCGCGTTGAGGGTCAATCCATGAGGTGACGGGTGATAACTGTATCGAGCCGGCACCAAATCCGAGACCGCAGATCATCGTTGCTATAAGGAGTTCGTCAGCAGAATTGGAGAGCCGTATGCGGAACTTAACTCACCCGTAATCAGAGAGGCCGAATTTGTGGTAGTGACTCCAGGAAGAGCAGCGACAGGCTAGCCCTGACAATTCCATGATTCAGGACCTGGGGCGTGGACTTCAGGTATTTGCTAACGATGCGTAACAAAACAGGCATCGTGAAAAAGAATAAGACCAAGTTAATAAGAGCGACTTCGCCAATGAGAGCGTTTGTCTGGTTCGCGTGTTAGTTTATGTGCTAAATTCGTGAGCTGTCAGACTTGCCCTCGAAACCTTCCAATCAAAACGAAAGGACGCATACTGTACTAGAGCGCGGAGTGAGATGCCTCTCAATGTGCTGATGAGAAATACTACTGCAGCCGATCCCATATTGTGACTTGGGAGCATGAAGCGGAGAAGATGGACTTGATCGAGTAACGCATGGAGAACTGCCCGGAGGATCCTGTGGCCTGGCGGGTCTTCAGTCGAGTCAATGGCCGCAGAGAACGGAGCTATATAATCCTTTGGCATGACCGAAAGGAGGGGAAAGGTCAAAAATAGTAAGAAGTAGCTCATGGAGAAGGGCAGCCATGGTGGAATGTCAGAAGCAATAGATGCCACTGGAGGACCTACTAACTCGCTAAAGATGAAACACGAGTAGAAGTAGTAGAGACGCCGAGTCCTAGGTATAGACGTAAGCTCTGCCTTCTGTTCTTTCAAGGTCTGAAGGTTACCTTGTCTCCTCGGTGCATGCTTTTGCAACCATGGCAGCAAGTAGCATTTGAGCAGCATACCCTCCTCCCCTCACAAGGAGGAAGACAGAAGAAGCCCACACCAGCTTAATGGGCAGTACAGAATTAGTGGCTATTGCACTATGAGCCTCAGGATATTGTGTAATGTATGCATACAGTTGAATGCTTACGAACGATGAGAGTCCAAGTGAGGCTCATCAAGATGCCCGCCACAACAACCATGAACACACCTTGTTGACCTCGATGATCAGCGATGCGCCCAATAGGTAGCGCGACAATGATGGCTACCAGGAACGTCAGTATCAAGTCTAGAATACAAATCATGTTAATTACCCGAGAACGTGTCAAATGATGATGCCCAGCCTCGGATCTCGGACAGGTTTCTCTGGATTGCAGGAGCTTTACAGAGTTCGGAAGTCGGAATGTTATCGTGATAATGTCGGGCGGAAATGGCGTGCTCCAGGTGAGATACCACGGGCACGGTCAGAATTATCATGGCTAGCTCACATAGTAGCTCAAGCCTAATACAGTACTTGAAGCTTGGAGAGAAGCCCGACCAGTTCTATCTGGAACAAGCTGTGGTCTCTGGGTGGTGTGGCGATCGCCAGCGGCCAAGGGTCGTGGACCGAGCAGAGGTGCATCCTTTTGCTCCATAGGCAACTACTCCAGAATGAGAAATAAGAAGAAATGAGATCAAGGCAACGAGAAATCTCTTCCGCGGAGCCCGACCCTGAGCGCGAGCGTTTTGGATGTTGTTTTAAATTGAGATGTAAGAGGTCTCGTCTGGCCAAGTTACCGAAGCAGGAAATTGGTATGAAATACCTTAGGTCTGTACCTTGAGTAGTCGGGTGCGGCAATACCCGTAAGCCTGTAAATTTCCCGATAGGTTTCTTGGGCCAGGAACGATAATGAGGCACTATTCTCTTTCAATCTCCTAGACTGGTCGTCCATCTCACAAGGGCCTTAAGTTGTCATGCTAGAGGGCTTCCCATCCCCAGACGCCGTTTTACAGCTGGTCCGAAGATGATATCTACGTCATGAGCTTTTTATAGTACATATCTTCGGCAGCGAGAGCGATCGACGCGGTTTCTACAGCGATCCAACTCTGCCTTCCAGGCCGGGTAATGTTGTTCGCGTCCATTTCAGCAGCCTCTTCAAGTCCTTGGTGCAAGGCCCCAGCCTGAAACTCTTCATGGAAAACCATTCTACGGTTAAGGGAGCTTGCCGCAAATAAGAGAGGCGTCTTTTCACTGAAGGCCAGTTCTGTGTTACTAGGTTTGGGGAGGTTAACCGGCATGACGCCTACTGCTACAGCATTGACCAGGCTGTCTCGTTCACGGTTGTCCCAATTAAGGGCTCGTGGGTCGGTATGTTCTCTCAAACTTGGCATGATAATGTCCATTCCGTCGGCTAACAGTAGTGAACTCAAAGCTATCTACCTCACCGATGAAGGAATGTCTTTCCTGGAAGGTGTCCGCCTCCTCTGGACTAGCTACCGCAACTACACCACCTCTCTACAAGGTGGAACTGAGGTCGGGCCAGTTCCTACAGTCCCGTATAAGAAGCCCATCTCGGGCGAATCGTGCGATTGGAACATTGGTATCAGCAAGAACAGCATCAATAATAGGAATGGCCCCTCCAACTACCATGAAAGACGAAGTAATGTCTTTCCCTTATCACAGACTTTCAGCCAGCTACGTCTATCACAGAATATTGTGGTCCGTGATGAAGCAGATATGGAACTACTGTCAGAATATACCTTCTTCCTCCTGGCCAGTCCTGTTACTACATCCGCTCTTTCTTTCATGCAACACTCAACCATCTATCAGTGAAGCTTAATGAGGACCACAGCATGGAATTAAATCTTCTCAATATCATGCGTGAGTGACTGCGAAACTACATCAGGATAATCCCAGGTGTCAAGGCCGCTCTCGCCCAGAACTTGCAGTGGATGACTCCAGGTAGTTGTTGTACCTAGCCCCAAGCTAGACCTGGAATGAGCGCGACCATAACGAAGCAGGACATGCAGAGTAGATTACTAATTGACCATGGGGTTTCACAGTAGCTATTTATCATCCTGTTTAAAAACTGCGAGTCGGCAATGGTATTTCTGGTGAGCTATGCACGGCTTCTTTGTGGGGAGCGCGGTATTGCGCAAGCGGAGGAGGTGGTCGGGCTAATGAGTCCGGCGGCGTTCTTTGTTCCCCTGGCATTCGCTACCTCAGGGTTTGGCATGAACATAAAATAAATTGAGGGTGGCAAAACTCCTTTGTTCTATGTGTTCGCAGTGGTGGCTGTAATAACCTTGATGGCAACATATGTCACCATGTTTTCCACCACGACATGGAGCTGGCTGGGGATGATATCGAACAAGGCCTTGCAGACACTCATAAGAGCCAAACATAGTTCGCTCGGCTTCGATATAAACCTGGAGAACAAGAGATGTTTATTGCCTATGTGTGGGAAGAAAAGGAGCTTGGTTGGCTTGACACCTGTGTGAAGAAGCCCAGCGGGTCACAATTAACTCCCTCCTAATTTCAGGCAGGCTGGTAAGAACAAACGAAAACGCCCCTTAAGATAATCATAGAAACCATAGGTAAAGAGGAAAAAGAAACGAAAGAAGAGTGAAAAGATAGCGGCCACCCTATCCTAGCTTTCTTTGGTTGTAGCTTGTAATTCCCCCATAATTCCTCCAACCTCCTGTGTCAATCTATTTTACATGGCATTGCAAATAAAATCACTGCTCTTTTCTTCGAACTCTCTCTGAAGCTCTTGCACAGCTTTCTGTCTCATCTCATACGCTGCAAGACTCTCACCAGACTCTGAACCAGCATTCCTCGCATTATCAGCAACAGGATACATATAGCGACCTGTCTGGATGCTCGTAGGCCATCCAGCCTTTTTGAGCGCCTCAGTGGCAAGTTTGATGAGCATGAGATCGCTCCCTTTAGCTCCTATCACAGTGCTAGCAATGGGCCGCATCTCGAGTCTTCCACTGACCTTTGACAGGTACGGCATCTGAGCAAATGGCAGTACGAGTTGAGGAGCATGCAGGATAGGCGAGATGAACTTCTCTGCGACCGTAGGGAAGGTCCCAGCAGGAGGGTTTGCTTCATCGCGGTACTCTGGATGTGGTTCTCCGTAGGGCATGATGAGTATGGCGTTAGAAAGGGTCTTTGAATCAGGGCCCATGACGTTCTCAGTGAACCAGCTTCTGAAAACCTCGAGTTGTTTCATGTAAGTTGCGTACTCCTGGGAGGTAACATCTTTTCCAACATCTCTATCTTGTTTGTTAAAATTATTCGGAATAATTGACTACATACTGACTATCGGAATCGCACGACTGAGCTGACGAATGGTTTCTTGCCGAACTTGGCGCTATATTCATCACGGAAGCTGTCGAATCCGTGATAGTAGTCATAGCACAATGACCAGAAAGCGCTCTGTTATCAATTAGCAGCGAACGAGTAGTGGCATCAAGAGACTTACTTTTTCAGTGTACTTCAGCAATGGCAGGCTTCCGGCCCCTCGAGGAGGATTCTTCTCCCATTCCTTGACAAAGCTGAAGGGGGTTCTCTTGACACCCAGAAAGTCTTCAAGTATTTTGACAAACTCATCTGTCAGAGCCTGCTGCTCTGCATTAGCCAAGGGTTAGAATTCTTTGGGATAGAGTATCTTGGTCGGGAATTTAGAGAAACCTTGGTGAATATTCTCAAAGGTGTGCGACACAATAAAGTGAAGATCGTCCAAGCTGCGACCAAAATGGCGACAGTATCAAAAGCACTGCTCATCAATTAGTTCAGTGACCGTCTGTAACACGGTGTACTCATACGGTGAGTTGACTGGTATTCCATTCATCGATGTAGAGCCGAAGCTGGGTCGAAGGGAGAACAGGCCGTTGCAAGGCGCTGGTGCCCTGACACTGCCAGCAGAGTCTCCCGCAATGGAGAAGTCGAGCCAGTCATAGCCCGCTAGAGAGGTTGCAGCTCCCGTGGAGCCGCTAGAAGGGCTCTGGTAGCCATCTCCGCGAGGATTGACGGGGCAATGGAAGTCAACCCACTGGTCTGTTGGTTCTTCGGGGGATGCGAAAGAAGTCATCTTGGTTTTGCCCACGATCACTGCGCCCAACTTTATGAGTTTGTTGGTGTAGTCGGCGCTCTGCTCATCCGCTCCATAAAGCTCAATCCACGGCCTGCTCATCAGGGTCGTCTGAGTACCTTCAAGGCGGAAGATATCTTTGATGCCCATCCGCGCACCAGCAAGAGGGGTTGTGGGGGTTCTAACAGAGTAGAGACAACTTGGGACGGCGATTCTCTTCCACAGTCCATTTCGGCTGAGCAGATTGAGAGGGATATACCTAAGATGGTTAAGTCAGTATTGCCTGAAGACTGAAGCAGTACAGATTTGATCAAACCTTTTGGTATCAATACATCATCCGGGATGACTCCGAAAATAAAACTGTCCAGAGTGTCCTCATATAGGCGATATGCTTGGTGAATTCCATCAAGGCAGAGGAAGTATGGACCTGGAGAAAGATAGCCCTGTGAGGAGCCTGGGGACGCATGATAGACGGCGGAGAAGTGGCCCGAAGCTTCAAACTTTTTGAGCACCTCTACGAAACCTCTTTCAGTACTGGACCGAGTAACAGCGGCACGGGCGAATGACGGAGAGTAGACATCGTCAATATCGGCAAAGCGATTGATGAGCCGCAAGGCATCGTTTACTGAGGATATTGAGTCGCCAATCGGAAGGAGGACAACAGGTATCGGTTCGAGGCCGGTTGGCTCTGCGATCTGGAGCTAGAGAGAGTAGAGAGTCAGCAAGTCACAGCCTACTTGGGAGTTTCTTCTCAACGTACAAGTGATTGTGGATGGACCAAATAGTAGACGCCGTCGACGACTAGTGATGATCTGCTGCCCATTGTGTCACGTCCGTTTGAGAGAGTTAACATGTATTGTTGAAGTTTGTGCAGTTGAGGCTGGAGACGAGGCTCTGCAGTAACAAAGAAAGCACTCAAGTGATGCTTCGTCTTAAGCCAGTGACACTGACTCACACTGCAAGCTTCATCTACTTCTATGACATCTTCACCAGCTATTAGGATGGGACGAAGCATCTTGAATTCTATCAAGGTGCCTCAAATCCAACCTGTCTACCTCCGACCGCTGATTGACAACTTATCATTGAATTGTGGCCCCTTTAAAGTTTACAGACTCTCCGAACCCAAACACATGATGTGCCAAGTCAACAAGTTACCGTCATCATAAAACCTTCAAATATTGACGCCAGTCCATATTCTTAGTCCGAAAGTCCCTATAACTGACTTGAGATCCTCGTTGTCCCCTGAACCAGTTCCGCCACTGGAAGGGGGCAATGAACAACGTATTGGCGCCAACGTAAACCACGAGCGAACAATTACCTTACCCTACAATCCGACCAGCAGTGTCTCGAGGGATAGGGTTATCTTCTTAGCAGACTTTGCACAAAGCATCAGGGGCATCCTGTGGCTATTTGAGACTGTCTTGCAAACGAACTTCGACGTTTGTAAATTGTACCATAAGGCTCTACCAAGGCCTCGACTTACATAGTCCCCAACTAATTCAGCTCTGTCATCTGCCTAAAGAGTTAGAGAGATGCAATGACCCAGCATGAGGCCTCATGACCTGTCGGTATTTGAGAAACAAAGTGAAGACCCTTTTATATGAAAGCCCCTCATTGTCCAGAGCGAAAGGCATAGGGAGCTCTGCATACATGGTATATTCGAGTACCATATCCTCTATATGAAATAAGATCTTCGACAATAAACCCACCAGTATCAAAGACCACTGTTTGGCTCCGGCAACCGTAATCCCTGCTTACGAGACGCAAAATAAGTCCTTCTACAGCATTTCCAGTCCCGTCGTGCACACTATATCGCCTCTTATGGATATCATAGTCCACGTATTCAGTACAAAACTGTGACATGACTCATTAATCAACCGAGATTTTGAGGTTATCAGAGATACCGTGTAATACAGCTCCATGACTTACCATATGTACGAGAGTGCTCTCCTTATCCTGAGGAATGGCCTTTTGTTGCCAGCTAAGAAGTAATAGCCTTCACCAAAGTCGACGGGGGCGGCAGTTTCGTTCTCTCTGAACTCAAAAGTACGATGCATCAAATCGACTGTTTTACCATTTTAAGGAAGACATGAGGCACTTATTCAAGGCTAATACCTTCTTTTCTTTAGTCCTTACAAATTACATTCGCAATTGTAGTTGTAACCAAAGGAGTTGCGTCGTTGGACTGAGGCAGTAAACATTCTTAGAGTTAAGATGAATCATCAACCAAGAATTACTTACCCTGCACAGGTGACCAACATATCTGATTGCTAATAGACATGACAGGAACAGGCATGGTATGGTCTCTTTTGGGGTTCAAAACGAGGTGCCAGGGGTTTCATATAGGTTACTCGCTTTGGGCTATGTGTAATATGGACTTTGAAAGGTCACTCCTGGACGACTCACTTGTTAGCTAAAGCGAAAGGCATAAGTAACTCCGTATACACATAGTAATGTAAGCGTTGTATCACCTATGTGTAGATCTTGACGGATGCCGTGAAGTTTCCGACAGTGCGCTCACCAATTTCAAAGACTGCTGACTGATTACTCCTAAATCTCCATCTACGACTCTTTTATATGAGACACATGACAAGCCTTCTCAACACGCCATCAGTGGCTTTGGGCACATGATATGCCGCTGACGGAGATAATAGGACGTTCATTCCCCGCGATTTAGGCTTTACCGGAATTTCATGTGAAGGACGATGGTCAATATCTCGGAAAATCTGTGCTTGGCCACACTCATCTGTATGAAAGGCTATGCACAGCTGTCCTGGTAAAGGACCTTTTGTTGCTAGCCAAGCAGATTGCCTTAGCCAACTCGACAAAAACTGTAGTTCTTGATGATGTTGTGACTGACATCTATGGTAGACTTTCTCACTTCACCCAAGGCAAAGATATTCGAACCCCATGACAGCATTCTCAGGGGAAGGGTCTTTATTAAAGTTGCATTCTGATTCTTATTTATGGCTATGCGTTAATTACCACTACAGTCGAGACTTATCAATCTTGGAAGGTCCATAAGTAGCCGCCCAAGGCTCATAGTCCTCCAAAGCCATAACACGTTGCATCTGTCGTCGTCTCAGGCCCACATTTCCTCCATCAAACAAGGGATAACACATAACATCATTCAACAACCTCGGGAAAGACATATCCTTTGCATAAGCCTTCATGCCGACAGCCTTCATAGCATCAATAACACACTCGACCGCAACATCGGTAGTGTAGATCTTTGTTTGCATAGCCATCTCAAGCTTGATCTTCCATTCAAGAGCCTCATCCTCGAGAGTGGTAACCGCCTTCCACACAAGCAAACGGCTAGTCTCGAGGCGAATCTTGCAGTCGATGAGCTTGTCAGCTACGCTCTGATGCTCGATGATGGGCTTGGAGCCACCGCGAGAATCGGACTTGGCGAAGGCGAGAGCTTCTTCGAAGGCTGCGCGGGCAGTTCCTATCGCCATAGCGCCAACGAGAGCAGCTGACATAGCAAAGGCTTGCTCAATCAGTCCTTGTGCCTTGAGACCAGGGGTGCAAAGAAGGTTCTCATGAGGAACTCGGAACTCAGTGAAGCGGGTGTGGGGGCCAGATGCGGTGATTTGGCCTGCAAGTTCAGGTTCGCCCAGGACCTGATAGGCTTCCTCCTTGTTATTGGCGATAGTCTCTCGAGTTACCAGGAGGACAGCAATCTGAGTAGCTGGTTCGACATTGGGATCTTGGGGCTTGGATGGATCGTCTGAGATTCTGACAACGACGCATGCAAGATCAGCCCCTTTATAGTCCCAGCCACCACTGTTGGAGGGCCAGAGCTGGTACAGACGTTAGTATATACTTGAGTGCTTGAGGGTTAAGTGCACAAACCTTCTCACCATTAATGATCCATTCGTTTCCAACCTTTCTAGCTGTGGTTTGGAGACCTGGTCCGCCCTTCTGCAACCAATTCGCCGTTCCACCAGGCTCAGAGTGCATCAAACTGGCCAGAGGGTCACCCTCGCCAGAGATGAAGGGCTTCAAGAACTTCTCCTGCAGGGCAGTTGAATCACTGAGAATCAAAGGCATCAGACCAAGTGCAGTAGCGACAATGGTGAGTGAAGTAGCAGGCTCCACTGCAAAGAGCTCTTCGAGGATGATGCTCTCGTGAACAAGACCCTCCATAGTTCCACCAAGGGGAATGGGAACTTGAGCCTTGATCAGACCATGGCGAACAGCTTCCCTGTAGAAGGGTCTGGTAGCCTGAAAGCGAGAGAACTGGTCTTTATGGGCGTTGTACTCCGCTGGAGCTTTGGTGAGGATTGTGTTGGCGAAGGCCTGAGCATGGCGTCGGGCTTCTTGCTGAGCAGGAGAAAGTTTGAAGTCAACCATTGTGTATGAGTAGTTAGAGATGTAATCAAGGGAATATTTGGTATGTATCACGAGAAGATTGGTCTTTGGATGTAGAGACTCTTGTCTGTTTATATAACAATTCCTTCATACCAGCCTCTTATCAACATACCCTGCACCTGATACTGTCAAGCTGGTTAACTGTTACCCGACCACCTCCCCCGCTCGTGGATGAGCTGATCATATCTTGTTATCAAGTGGAATTGAAGCTAGTGATGATAGATGCGAGCTAACATTATGAAGATCAGGGATAATCTGGGGTAATGGGTGTTTGGAATCCGGGGCACACCGGATAAGTATTATCCGGACCCGAATTGATGCTTGAGCCCCTTCACTTTATCAAGATTATCCGTATCAGAGAAATTGATCTGCTGTCATTGGATAGAATGGTATCAGCTGATAGGACTAGATAGAGAATATCATGATAAATAGAAGATTTGCTGGCGATCAATCACACTCGGGCCCGTGGTTCCTGGAAACTGATTGCCGAACGAGGTGGAACGAGGCGACCCAGGGACCCGAGAAGTCGGGTCAGAAACACCAACAAAGTCAGTTGAGTTGTTGGAGGCAGCCCAATCAGTCTTTCGGTCAAATACGGATACAGATAGGCCAAATGACGGCAGTAAAAAACATCGTGAGTAAGAGTATGGGTTGGCATTGGTCCCCTCTTCTATAAGCCTCACCACAACTTAATTCTCACCAAAAATTAACTATGAGCCTTCTGAGTTTAAATCTTTCGACGTGTTTCGAGGCATTACAGTTTTTTGGGAGGCCAGGTTGCAAGAAGGCAAAAAGAAAAACAAAGCAAGATATAAAAGCAAGACCATGTCTCAAACATGTGACCTTTTGAAACCTGAATGCTTTGGGTAATGCCTGGACCCTGAATCTACAGTGCACGTTGCCACGGCTCAACCAAGGTTCGAGAAAATAAAGGTCAGTTCAGTAACGAGGGATTTCCCAACTTGGTAATCGGACGTTTCGTTTCCATGCCCAACATTAACAAAAGAGCAGGAAAAGGGGTCAATCACCCTTGGGGAGCAAGAAAACACCATTCAAGGTCTTGGGTTTTCTTTCCTCAATGCACGCAAATTATCATGGATCCAAGGCGTCGTCAGCAATGTTACACGGGCTGTCAGTGCCAGTGGTTCCCAAAACAGCCGAGAATTTTCCGCACGGACAGGGAAATTCCTCAACGTCCCCGCTGCCTTACGCGTGGCAACGCCTGACACCGGTCAACCATCAAATCCACACATCGTTGACCTCCAAACGCGTTGATCGCGTTCTTGACCTTGACTCCGGCGGCGACATGTTTGGCATTCTCGAGACCGTCCAAGTGCCCCATTCGGGCATCTACAACAGCTATGAGGAACTTTTCAAGCAACTCAGCGATGGCATGGAAAAGGAAGGATACAAGATCGTCAAGGCTAGATCCCATCGAGGCAAAGT